ATATCGGTAGCATATGCATCTTAATGAACCACTCCTCTCTTGTAGGTAACTAGAGTGCAAGAAGAATTTTTTCTTCCAGGGGAAGTCATAATGGAACATGGGATTGTTGCTGATCAACTTTATTTCGTTTGTCATGGCAATCTGGTATGACTTCACTACATCATTTAACTAGCTATTACCACATAGGTATTAGGTTATACGATAATATTTGGGATTCCATAAGATTGATGAATCAAAATTGGTACAGGAAGAGGTAGTTATATGTGAAGATGGATCTGAAGAAATAGTATCAGTTCTGAAACCACATGACTCTTTTGGAGATGTTTCCATTCTATGCAACGTTTCCCAGTCATACACAGTGCGAGTTCGTGACCTAAGTCGACTTTTGCGGATTGATAAACAATCTTTCTCTAATATCCTTGATATATATTTTCATGATGCACAAAAGATTCTGAACAACCTACGAGAGGTGATAACTTAGTTAAACGTGCATAGCCTTTAATATTTAGCTAACATCTACATTGTTTCTTTACATTTATGTCGAGTGACATCTAAACTAATATATGCCACCAGGGAAAAGAAAGTGATGCTCAAATGAAGCATTTGGTGAAAGATATCACAGCTCATATTCGAATGCAAGAAGCAGAACTTGCACTCAAGGTCAATAATTCAGCTTATAATGGAGATTTATCTCAGCTAAAAAGTTTAATTCGAGCTGGAGCTGACCCAAACAAGAAAGATTATGATGGGAGGTCACCACTGGTATATTTTTTTTTTTTCGTTTAACAATCCTCAAAAGCATATATGTACGTAGTTTAAATTAAAGAAACATGTAAAACGCTAGCTAACAAGTCTTTGGCATGAATAGCATCTTGCTGCATCAAAAGGGCATGAAAATATCACTAATTTCCTCATTCAACAAGAAGTGGAAGTTAACATTTCGGGTAAACTCCCTTGCCTTTTGAATTTTTTATTCTAGTGTTTGAGGTTTTCCACTAATTTGAACTACTCTACTTCATTTCATCTTACATATAGATAATTACGGAAACACGCCCTTATTAGAAGCCATCAAGAGGGGACATGATAAGATTGTATCCTTACTAATCAATCATGGGGCCTCATTGAAGATAGATGATGCTGGTAGTTTCTTGTGTTTATCTGTGGCAAGAGGGGACATTGATTTGATCAGACGGATGTTGTCAAATGGTATTGACCCAAACTCAAAAGACTATGACTTTAGAACTCCACTTCATGTAGCCACATCACAAGGATCTTATATAATAGCAAAGTTGCTAGTCGAATCAGGGGCCAATGTTCTATCGAAGGACAGGTAAAAATTTGTGATTGTATCCCCCATGTTTTAGAATTTAAACAGTTATTTAATTAAAGATAGAGACAAAGTTGAATACAATATAGCATACAGTTATGATCTATATGAATGTGCAGATGGGGTAACACTCCACTTGATGAAGCTAGATTAACTGGAAACAAGGTATTGATGAAATTATTAAAAGAAGCCAAATCTTTTCGGTTGTCAGAATTCCCTTCAAGCTCTCAGGAACCAACAGGTATTCAAAATCATTGACTTCCTTGAGTGATAGAAAAAATATTGTCAAATATGTAAGTACAATATGAGAAAAAAAATATATTCAAACAAAATCATAGTTGCAAGAATACATAAAATTTGGACAAATTGTGGAAATGTAAATACAAAAGAAACAAAAGGCATCATACGCGACAGTTTGTCTAAAATCACCCATTTTTTGAAAGCTCTTTAGAGAATTAGAGTTCTGTTGTGTTCTCAAGATATATGAATATATGATATATA